AAATAGGAGGAAAAAGTCATTTATTGTATGGGTTCAGTTTGTTTATTAGTTTAAAGGCCACATTTAACAATAAACGTTTTAATCAGACGCTCTCTCATGCACACACATTTTCAATGGTCATTTTCATTTTGTATGGCTTTGTGATTGGCATGAGCTAGGCTGTGCTACTGTCAGCCAGTAAACAGGATTATCAAATCTCTGGATGCTTTCTCTCACTGTGTCCAGTTTGAAGCCATTTCAGACAGTCATCTGCTAAAAAGGACATAAAGTACAAAGTCCTCGTCTAATGTCTCTAGTATCCGGCATCATCTTACTGCGACTGATGTTGTCTTTCTTAACTGGTGCCATGTTAAATGTAGTTCATCTAATGGAAGGAAACAATTGTTTACTGTTGATTTGTCTCTCGCAAACACACACACACACACACACACACACACACTGCACCAATCAGCAGTCCACACGTTTGAAATATCAAAAATTAAAATGGAGACCGAGGCTCTGGTACAGTCTGGTATTATTGATCTGAGGGGTCTGTTGTTAAGATGTCCTTCAATGTGTCCTAATTTACCAATAGTGGCCAACTGTGATTGGACATGAATACTTTATACTACTTTTATCTTTTGTTGCTGTGGTTTATAAATGTTTACACCTTTAAAAACCTCTAAACCTTTTGCTGTGATCGTGTGTGCAGTGATGAATACTGAATGGTGTGTGTCCATGTTCTGTATGTATGTCCGTCACACTGACTGTATTCCAATCTGTCGGTCGGTCCACACTCCTATCAGTGCTCAGTGACTTGGACCTCACAGATGTGCAGATACAGTAGATGGAGGTGGAGAAGGACGGGCGTCAAGCATTGCAGCAATGCAGCAACCAGGAAATCTTGCTGTAGTTAAAGAGGACGGTGTGTTAGTGTCTTCTACATGTGACTGTTTCCACAGTGACATCATCAGGGGAGTCCTTCAGGCTGTTCTAAAGTAAAGTAGTTCTGTGTGTGTTTCCCTGCAGCCAATATGGTAACCTGCAGTGTTATTACAAATCACCCAGATGTCTCTGTTTGTCAGTGTGAGAGGGTTCACGCGAAGGGAAATGAAGACACATAAACAACAGGTCTGTGCCCGTTCCTCTTAGAGATGAGTCACTGACTGAGGCTTCAGTCTTTTCGGTGAGGACACCTTCTACGTTAGTGTGTGGGCTGGTCTTATCTCTGTATTGGATTGTAAGACAACTTGTCCCTACTTTGTCGTTATCATCATTAACACAGTTATCAACGGAGACGAACACTTGTGCGGATGTGTGTGTGCGTGTCAGCTTGTGTGTGAGTGCGTGTGAATGTGTGTAAATGAAATGAGTCCCAGGGTTAGGCTGGGATTTGAGATGTGTGTTTGTGTGGGTGTCTGATGCTGCACTGTGAGCCCAAACCTCCGCCTCGCCTCGTCTCTCTGCAGTGTGGGGATTTCCTTTTTCCACTCTGGTCATGTGACTGCAGAGAAGGGTGTGACCTCCTGCATTCCTGGTACCACTCTTTTTTTCTCTCTCTTTCTGAATCTCTCATTACACTGTCTGGCATGCTCCGCCATTTCTCTCTCTCTCCCACTCTCTCACTCTCTTTCTCTCTCTCGTTCTCTCTCTCTCTCTTTTTCTCTCTCCTTTCTTTCTCTCCTTACACACACATTGTCGTCTAGACAAAAACCGCTGCCCAGTCGCTGTGAAGGCTCCTGTTGGACGTGCCCGGCATGTGGATATGTCCCTGTGACATAATTCATTGAGACAGTGTGTGTGATCTGTTGCTGGGTGCAACAAGAAAAAAAAGTTCTTCCGTAGGGCGGGTGTGGTCACCAGCGTCTTTTGCTGTGTGTTCGGAGGAGGGTGGTGCAGACTGCTGCTTTAGTATGCAGAGCAGGTGTGTCTGCAGAGGCTGAGAACAGAGGAAGAGGAGGGAGGGTAACAGCAGTTGGGCAATGGGACAATCTGATGAAGGATGTGCAAGTTAAAGACCTGACACCTAGACTACAGATAGATTCACATCTCTGTTCAAAGATGAAATATGTTCGCCCCAGATTCTGTTGGCTGCCGTCCATACTGTCCTCACAATATCTTACACAGAGATCAGAACAGACGCTGAAGCTTGCCAGGATGTTTGAATAGACAGAAACTTTGCATATTGACCGCTCTGACCATTACTTCTGTGGACGAATGTCTGTTTGTGAATTTACCTTCAATTTCACTTCATTCTTTCCTTTTTTATCAGAATATTCATGGATGTCCTATTGAGGAAGAAATTGTCCATTTATATGGACATTTATCTAATCTTATGTTGTTAATGTTACCGACTGGGGGCTGTGAGCTAGCAGCATTGCAGTTCTTGAGATTATTTAAAATGTAACATTAGTTTGTCTGTAAAGGTTCATACATGAAGCATTATTCTGGATTATTACACATTATAATTACATGTTATAAACAGTAACAAACCAAAGGGGAGCAGAACAATGAAAATGTAACGAATATGAATATGAATCTGGGTCAGACACTAACCATGTTCCAAACTGCAGTCTTTTCAAGGTCAGCATCAGAGACATCCTCGGCAGTTTCTTATTGGCTCATTTCACCAATGACTAATTCATTTTTCCTGCAAACGTGCTACACATTCCACCACCTTCAGAAAATAAAAATGGGCAGACCTACGGCCACGGTTCATAAGATGCAATTAATTTTCAAATGTTAAATTTTATACTTCTGTACCTGGAGACAACCACTGGCTGCCAGCAAAAATGTTTTTGGCTGTTGCTCTATTCCTCTCTCTTGTTAGGACACACTGTCAATGAAGATGACATGGAACGTTTCCATGTGAGAAGAAAATCCACTTGGCTTTGTTAATGCACATGCAGTAATAAGAGCAACATGAGGAATGTGGCGTTCGTCAGCGTGAGTCATCCTACGGCTTGGCTCGCTTTAGTTTCTAAGTAGAGTAACATTTTTCAGGTGTTATCAATTTGGCTTTCCACACCATGAATGGAAAATCCAGCATTGAGTGGGAATAACATTTCCATCACGCGGCCGTCTTCACACTGTGAAGAACGCTATTGGTGACACCACTGGTGAAGACACGTGATATTAATACAACAAAATACACAGTAGGATGTTGGAAACGCCTGATCTTTTACGTTGTAGAACATGTTTAGGACACCATATTAGCAGAAAGGAACATGAAATAAAGTAAACAGAGTCAAAAACATCAGTGAGGGCAGGAGCTTATCAAGACTCACACATACACATTTATAGAAGCTGAGTGGCTGCAACATAATTTCATCTCCAGTCAATAACAAACAGATAAGATGGACAAAGAACAGACACTCAGTCTCTGTCTCCCCCCCCCCCCCCCCCCCCACACACACACACACCCCGTGGCTGACCTCTTACAGCCAAATTGATTGCCCATCTAAATTTAGAGACAGCTAAACTTCCTACTGTTGAGTTTAACTGATCACTTCTGATCAAACAGACAGTTTTTGAAGTGTCTTTTTCCTTCATAGCTGCCTCTTCTTCAGTCTGTCAAACAAGACTATCAGCAGTGACTTAAACTTCTGACCAACTTTGCTTTTGGTGCCACCTTTTAGCCAGTTGGTATGAAATGATGTCATTGAAATTCAATGAATACAGTACCTGTAAACATTTAGAAGAAGGTCTGTAGAAAGTGAACAGCTGTTACCTTTTTGTATTATTAATATTATTAGTTGTAGTAGTAGTAGTATTTCTTTTTGTTTTCTTAATTTTTATTCTTACTAATTTAATTTAGAGAAATCTTGTATATTTTTATTACTATTTACTCAGGCTAGGTCAGTTAACATGTTGATATTTTAAATGAATTTGTTATTTCTGATTAGAAAGTTACAAAGTTGTGTGTAAGTATACACTACGAATAACACTATAAATTATTATCAGCTCCACAATATATAGATATTGTTATCAGCAAATGTACGTGTATTGTAATATGGTATTTTAGTTGCCTAGCCTTATGTAAATATTGCAACAGTCATGCAAGACACACCATATCTTCATACCTTCATACCTTCATACCCACCTTCATGCCACACATTCTACGCATGACATTTATTTTTCTGTAAACCATTACAGGAACAATATCAGTAATAATAACTAGTTACTGCCTACGGTATATCTTAACCTAAAGAAAAATTGCTTTAAAAAAAGCTAAAAACTTTAGTTCTTCCTGTCTGTGTCATTACCTAGGTGAGGTGCCTGTTGAACGTCCTTATCGCTGTGTGACCAGTCATTATTTGCCAAGGCTCAGTCACATGGTAAACATGAGGAAGCATGTCCTCCCACAGTCCAGGACATGCTTATAGGTGTATTAGGTTGATGGGACACTCCTACAGCAGGTTTACATGTTTTGGTCTCTGTATGTGGCCTCACAAGTTGCATGTGAATAATCATTGAATCTTTTCTGTGTGCATTGTTTTCTCCATTCTAATGAAGTAGTTGTCAATTTCCTTCATTTAGAGCCTGTTTAATTAAACAACCTCATTACCTGCAACCAACATGTTTCATTACTCTGACATCACCGGCAATTTCTGTAATAATCGAGACAGTCATCATGTGGCGGTATCTGCAGGCAGCAGAGTTCATTTCATTTCTCTGTAGTTGTTTTTATCATGACAGTATCTCAACTTTTGGTCAGCGAACAGATGGATAATTAATAAACACAGAGGAAGGTCGTCTGTCCGCTCTGTTTAAAAATGAGAAGGAGAGATATCCAATCCTGTGTCTCTGAGGGGCCACAGAAACCAGTATTCCTTTTATATCATAATGACCTAGATGGTTGAGGGCACTCCTTTAACAACTGGAGATGAGAAACTTGTATAACTTGTCCAATTAGTCTCAGTTCTATTGATTAAAAAAGGATATTGCTTGTCTGCTGTGGCTTTGGACGATGTCCTGATGATCTGGTCCTTAAAAATCTCCTCTTTCTGTTTCTGTTCCAGTGACGAATCAGAGGAACATGTTTACTCCTCTCTTTCCGTTGTAACCCAAAGGAGCATGCACATCAGGGCCAGGATTTGACCTGTTTCCTCTGTGTCCTCCAACTATCTCCTGCAAGAACAACTCCACCCACAAGTCCTCTGAACTCATTGTGTTAAACAAAGAAAACAAAAAAAAAATCTCAGAGGAAAGTTGTAGCATCAGCAAAAAGGGACCAAAATGGCAAACAACACGGCGGATCACCCTCCGGGGAATTCGGTGAACGAAGGCAACCATGATGGTGATTTCGGGGTGTCCATGGAGGATCTCAAGAATTTGATGGAGCTGCGAAGTGCTGAGGCTGTCAACAAGATTCAGGACATGTATGGAGACGTGCAGAGCATCTGTCGCCGCCTGAAAACGTCACCAATAGAAGGTAAGACACATCATAAAATGTAACACTTTTAAAATTAGGGAACACAACTAACTCCTGGTTGCTGATGAAAGCAAAATCCCCAACATTTCCTGCAGGGGTGCTATTAACACAATTATCATGCACTGCTTCATGAGTCGATTGAACTGGTTTAATATTCTCTCTGCTGTTCTATGAAACTGTACACCTCCAACAACTACAACAAAAACCAAGTCATTAGCAGAAAGAATAAATATAAATATATATGTTTACTTAAGACACACTGTGTCAACAGACAAAAAGCTGCTCCTGGCTGAATGATTTCATCATTTCTCATCATGGCGGCTGTAGTTTAATACAATTATACTGTTGTCATGGAGGTAACATGACGGTGTCAAAAGCCCAGTCACAGTAGTAGGGTCAAGGCTCTTTCAGCAAATTCAGCCTCTGACAGCCACACAGCTTTATATAATCATATTCCTCTTGGCCCCGGAGCCAAGTGTTCCTCAGCTTGGCACATGTCCATTACCCTGCTGGATTAGGAACCACTGTTCATTGTGATGCCTGGCTTTTTTTAAATGTTTAATCAACATTCACGTTTGATTAAGTGATCACTCAGGAAGCCGTATGCCCAAACAGCATTCAGCTGTAACATTTGCGACGATCATTCAGTTTAGTAGCCGTACGAAGTTAGCTTCTGTGGACGAGTCCTCACTGGCTGCTGGAGTCCTAAGGTTAAATCCTGAGGTTTTATTGTGTATTATAAACATCTTACCAGAACCTTTGCCCTATGTCCTCCATACCTATTAGTGTATCATCAGGCACAAGACAGCCTGAGATTACAGCACTGTGGACCATTATCTCAGACCGGACTGTAAACCTGACCCTAATGTGAGTGATGGAAAATCAGAGCAGAGTGGTGGATGGAAAAATTTTTCCTCTGTCCCTGTGACACTCCACAGGTACTTCAATATTAAACTTTGGTTTTGATCTACACATGAGCCCAGTTCCCCCAGCTGTCATTCTGGCGGTCACCTGGTGGCTCTGTAAAATGCTGACAAATCTGCTAGGCTGACATCAACCAATCGGACCAGGGTATTATATAGTCTAGGTGTCTTTAATTTAATGTTCTCAACCGATTTGTTGAAAATTCAGGGACACAAATGAAGTCACTGTGAACAATGTTGAGATTTGTGCACAGCTTTAACACCCAAACACAGGGAAGCAGATGACGCGACGTGTAACAATGATTCATGCAAACAAGCATTTCTGGCTGATGTGCCCAATGTTTTGTGGTAATTGGTGAAATAGGATCACTATGGATTTGACTCAGAGCTTTATATAAGGCCAGAAAATGGCTGGCAGGCTGCTGTTTTTCTCTCCCGTTTTATTGTTTGATCCTTTTGTGTGTATATGTGTGTGTATTTGCAGCTGTTGGTCCATTCCAGGATTGAAATTAGTTCCAGCCCGTTCCCCTAATGGCTACATAGATCATTGCTCTGTTCCATTTAGTAATCAGAGGACAGCTGTAGTTGCGTCGGCCGCACAAGAAATTACTCACTTTAACGAAGAAATTCTAATTATATTTTTAATGCAAGGGGAGGAGGAGATAACGGGGAGGATGGGGGACCAAATGCAGGATTTATCTACCAAACAATGACTGCCATTGGTGAATATTTGTATTTAGCTGATGTATAACAATACATAACGAAATAATGATACATTTTAACTCATTTTATTTCTTTAACGTTGTAACGTCTCTGTACTGATCATACAAGATTTTAAACGAGGGGTATGGTGGTATCTGAAGACATGATACATACCAATTTTTAGTATAGGCTACAGTACATTGTGTCCCAAATTTTGGCCATATGTTGCCAATATCTAAAAGTTAAAGGTCAAATTTGTCTTTTGTCTCTGTGCTGCTGATGTTCATATCCCTTCAGTTTGCAGGAGGAGTGTGTTATGTTGACCTATCCTCAGCTGTTGATATTTGATAATGTGATAACAGTAAATGTTATGATGTTGAAGCCAAATTGATACACCGGGGGGGCGGGCCAAACATTGTTATTACTGTGTAGTTTTTACAATGGATAGGAGTTTGTTTTCTTATTTCAGAAGTGGAGTTTACGTTACAGCTGCAGTGCTTGGATGTCAATCGACCGTCCTGAAATCTGAACGCAGAAACACAAAGAGAGTTTTACTGTTGTAGTGAAAAAAAACATTAATTCAACCACAAAGGCATAGCCACAAAAAATCAATTCAATTACGTTAGTAAATGGAGTTAATGGGAGGCCTGCTCATCACCAGTATCTCATGTCAACAAACGTCTGGTTTCTAACTGTGAACAGCCGACTTCTGTTGAACTGACACTAACTGGAATCACAACAACCTGCACTGTCATCAAACACTTGGCTAACATGCTTAGCTTCAGAAATTGGAGGCCCTAGGTTGGCAATGAGACTTCACACAGATGTTTTAAACTGTGTTGGTGTTTTCATGATGCCACACCGGCTGTGATAATGACAAGTTTCTTCTTCACTGACACTTGTTCGTGGTTTGTAAAACCCGTCGCTGATTAAATGCAGGGATGCTTGTCATTGTTCCAAATTCAAACTGACCAAACACACACACGCACACACACACACACACCAGCCCTGTATACTGCTGGTTAATGTGTATTGATGGATGAGTCTGTTGATTCACTGGAGATCATCATCTTTTTTGTAAACCGAATCTCACCGTACAAAGAAGCTTCAGAAACACAGCTAAACCTAAAAATAAACAAGTCTATTTAAGGGAAATGCTAATGAGCAGCAGCAGGTTCTGTCATCTCAAAGGTGAGAAGCTGCCAGGCTCACTCTACGTTTACAAAAGTGCCTTCACATAAAGCATGGACCTGAGCTCAAAGCGAGCAGTAAAAAAAGATCCAACCCATCAGTCAACCTGTCGTCAGCTGACAACCAGAGGTTTTGTTTATGCAAATTCTAAACCAGACTTTCTTCACGTGTCTTTCGTTTTGATACTTTCTTTTTTTCATTTAAAAATACTGGTTCTTATAAAACACCCTGTTACTACTTATTATGAAATAATAAGATATAATAATGTAACAATAATAAAAAAGGAAGTACTAAACGGTCATCCTCAAATAAATGAAATCCTAAAAACCAATTTTTCCAAATGTGTGATATTGGACTATTAAAGCTCCATAATTGTAATCATGTCCTTAAGTGCCTGGAGACAGAATAGGAAGTGTGTTGAGATGAAGAGGTTTCTCTTCCTGCTGCTGTGTCAGATCTTTCTGAGCTCTGTGGTGTGAGAAGTCAGTGACCAATCTGAGATTCAGCCTTATATGCGTGACCTACTCCTGTGCAGTAATGACCGCACACACACAGCCTCAGGTCATCCGTGTCTGTGCCAGTAAGGGCAGAATGCTCCTTGAAGAAATCGTGCAAAGCTCTTCCTCGCTTTCTTTTTGTTTTTCCTTCTTTATCTGATTTTTTCTGTCATTTTCTTAAACTCACAAAAATATCCGTCGTTCCTTTCTAGACATTTACAAAATCAGCAAAAAAAAAAGGGAAAAGAGAAAATGAACATATATTGTGTTAAATTGAATTGAAGAATCAGACACAAGTCTGTTGAGATAAAACAGAAGATAGTCTGTCGTAGTTTTTTATAAATCAGATTTTACTCTCTGCTCCTCAAAAAACAATCGAATCATTGTGAATAATTGTATTTTAAAAATATGATTATTCCTATTATTATTTTAGCATTGTCTCCATTAATAATTGTCTCGATAAAAAGCTATCCAGCTTTTATCGGGAAAAACATTTATATTCTGTACATCGAGGTATGTTTGTATTTCACTTTCACTCATTGCATACAATTATACAACGCGTACGATAGAACTGATAGAACAACTTTAAACATGAGCAGACAAACAGACTGACTTTTGTGTTGTATAAATGGACATTTTTCATAAACACCAAAAATAAACTGTTTACTCTAAATAGTTTGTTTTGACATTGGTTGCAGCCTCTTAAATTTTCTTCGTGGCACTTGTGAATGAAGCCCATTCACATGGCCACGGCCCATTCTGTATGTGCTCTCATGTACACTGTTGCAGGCCATTAGGCCACTTCTTCATGCACTTGTAGGCACAGAGAAAGAGGTGTCAAAGATGGTTTCAATGCAGTGGGTTTATACATTAGTCATCAGCCTCAATAATGCCATTCATTACTCGTGCCGAACTATAAACATGCTCAAGATGGGTTTTCTTTTTTGCCCAACAGATTGTAGTAGTTTAAATTAGCATTAGATTTTACACTGAGTTCATGGAAGTGCTGGGCGTTATGAGAAAAAAGCTAACCATAAGGAGATGGATACACTGTGGTTATAAAATGATAGACCTAGTCAGCAACAATGCTTAGATAAACACGATTTAGTTAATCATAAAAGGCCAAATGTGGGCCATGAGTAAAGTATCATGCCATTACACCACCATTATCTACCTAAATTGTTAATATGGGCTGAGAAGAGTCCATGCTGTCAGCTGATTCCTGTGAAATTTGAACCCTATCATACGAGTATTACAGTGAGAACAACTCTCAGACCCGATGGATGTTGGACTCTCCTGGTACTGATGTAAATCACTGCCCTTCTGTCTTATAATCATCGTAACCATTCTACTTTCGGGACACTAGGTCATACATGTCCAACCTTTCTCTGTGGACAGCATCTCAGGTTTGAGGAAGGATCAGCACACAGATGCTTACATATACTCAGAGTCGGAACTGAAGGGGAGCCAAGCTCCCCTAGAAGGGACGCAAGTTCCCCTTAAAGCTTATTTTAAGACATTTAGGGGAAGCTCTGAAAAGGACACCTTTCTTGTGTCACATGTTACAGATTTTCTGTAAAGTCAGGTTTCTGAAATATTACCACTTATATCATCTCCGTTCTCCACTCCCCTGAACATCACTGTGTAAGTCAAACCCTGCTTATATCATCAATCATTAGAACAAGTATACCTAATGAAGCGGCCAATATGTAATCATTAATAATTAAAGCTTGTTACAGTATATGTAGTGGACATTAACGGTAAATAATAAAACAACAAGACGTGGTACTGATATACATATGCGAAGAAGACAAATACATTAAATAATAAAAAAGAAGAGCGTGTGCTTCTGCCCTTTATTTCACTAAGCTTCATCTAAATAAGGATCCACGTAGAAATGCCGGCCTTTAACTGAAGCCCTGTCACAGCCAGACACCCATCGACCAGGCAGCCAGTGAAGCTGCTGCGACTCCACTTCTTCTCTTATCTGAGGAGCGTCGGCATCAGTCACTGACCTAAAGTTTATCAAACCAAGCCTTGAAGTGACACAGTGTGATGAAACCTGGCTGATGATGACAATGACAGCTGGTGTATTTTTAAATTCCCTTCTGTCTTTTTGTTTTTTTTAACTGCACATCAGCTCCTGACAAAGCCTTTTTAGCTTTAATCCACAGCCACAATTACTCCCAACCAAAAAAAAATACGTATGCAGTCAATGGGATTTAAACATGTGAAAGTCGAAGACAACACTGGAATGAGTGCCTCTACAAAAAGGCACCACAGAAAGTATAACCATGAGCAAAACGCCCTAGTCTTTTCCCAGTACATGTATTTTCTACTCACTTCCTCTCCTGCTGCTCTTTTTTTTTTTTTATTTGCTTCCAAAGTCAATAATCTTACATCACTTTATCCCAAATCACCTGGCCTCCAGTTCACCCCTCCAAGATGAATACCATTGGAATAAAAATAAAGAGTGTAGCCGGGGATCCGGACTATATTTTGAAGGCTTTTTTACAGGAGTTCCTTCCTGATAAATCCCTGCAGCGTGGTGTGTTTAAATGCAGATCACGTTCCACTGCACATCTCCACCGAGGGTCCACAGCAGTCAAGTTTCTGCTCACACTGCCCAGCAAAGGAACTGCAAAATTACAGGCTTTTAGCAAATATTTTGATTTGAATACCTTTTTGTGAATTCAAGGCCCGACAAAAATGTTCAAAAAGTGATATCCTTCAACGCCTTCTTTATATTTTAAGAAGGAGAAAATACTTTGTTAAACTGGCACTTCTAGAATTGCTAAGCCCTTTTCTGTCCTTTTTATAATTAAGTGGTATTGTGTTGACATGGAGCAGTTTGGCTAAGGTAGAGCAGCAGATTGTTTGTACAGCAGGGGTGGGGTCAGATCAGCTCGGGCCAATATGGACTCAGTACAAAATTACACAGATACACTCTTAGTTTATTATTTTATTATTGATGGTGTAAATGTAACTTTCTAAAAAAAAAATTATTTTGTGAAGCATTTCTATGTTTGTGTAAATAATAAACGTCTTCTTTTTGTGTCTGCAGGTCTGTCTGGAAACCCTGTAGATCTGGAGAAACGTCACGCAACATTTGGGAAAAACTTTATTCCACCGAAGAAAGCTAAAACATTCCTGCAGCTGGTGTGGGAGGCACTGCAAGACGTCACACTCATAATTCTGGAAATTGCTGCTATCATTTCCCTGGGTCTGTCGTTCTACCATCCACCAGGAGGCGAGAGTGAAGGTCAGCTCAATGAGGTTTCTCATCATTCTCAAAGGATAGGTTAATACTAAAGATACTGTGAAGAATACTGATGCCACCATTCTTTTCTGAGTTTGTTCAAAATTAGGAAGGTATATTGGTATTTCAGATTTTTTCAGTTTTAATTCAACTGAGCCACTGTTTTATTGAAACTGATTTACTCTCATTTGTTATGATCGCAGTGTGTGGTCAGGTTGCTAGTGGTGTGGAGGACGAGGGTGAGGCCCAGGCCGGCTGGATCGAGGGGGCTGCTATCCTATTCTCAGTCATAATCGTAGTCTTAGTCACGGCATTCAACGATTGGTCAAAGGAGAAACAATTCCGCGGGTTGCAGAGTCGCATCGAGCAGGAACAGAAGTTCACCGTCATCCGTAAAGGCCAAGTCATCCAGATCCCTGTAGCTGAGATTGTGGTTGGAGACATAGCCCAGATCAAATACGGTAGGAGACGACGGAGATGCTGGACTGATCATTATAAAGAGATTTTTTCTTTTAGAGATTTTTCTTTGCCGTTCTAACATTCTAACGTCTAACCTTTGCAGGAGATCTGCTGCCTGCAGATGGGATTTTAATCCAGGGAAATGACCTGAAGATTGACGAAAGCTCTCTAACTGGAGAATCTGACCATGTCCGCAAGTCTCTGGAGAAGGACCCTATGCTTCTGTCTGGTGGGTGCCTGACTAGTTATTAAATCATCGTGAATCATTTGTTGAGCCTGAAAGGTGTCAGAGCAAGGATTCAACCAATAGCAGTAAAATTACAAATTATTCAAAGAATGTAATTTTTACATTAATAATTTGAAGGTTAATCCACACTACTAATAAGTAAGCACTTTTTTTTCTTTTTTTTTTCTTTAAAGAAAAGGGCCTTGAAGTTAATCCGTGAGGAATCCACTTGGGTTAATTTATGACTGAAATGCAAATGAAATAAATGGATAGCCATAAAAGCCAAGTTCAAGGCTGATTTAATGCTTTGTGAATGTTCTCCTCAGGAACCCACGTGATGGAGGGATCAGGCAGGATGGTGGTGTCAGCCGTCGGCCTCAACTCTCAAACCGGCATCATCTTCACTCTCCTGGGTGCGAGTGAGAACGATGAAGAGAAGAAGGTTAAGAAAAGTAAGAACTCAAGGCAAAGCCACTGACACACATCTAAAAAAAACATGGTATAATGAAATGCCGGTGGATACATTCTAATTGTGTGAAGGGCTCGAAGGTCTCCCTAATTAGTACAATGACTCATCTATACTTATCGACACCACTTGAATGATTCAGACTGGAGATATTTGCAAGTTTAGATCGTCTTGTTGTCTTGATCTGAGGAAGCTGTCTCTGTCAGCTGGTAGAGTTCATCCAGTCTGGACTGATGACAGCAGAACGTCTTTCAAGGCTGTGTAGTTTTTTTAATTTTATTTTTTTAATTTTACTATTGTTTTTTGAACAAGAAAGCATTGGTAGTGAATAAATGAGACCATGATTAGGTGACATGTAGCCAGGAAGTTATTTTTCCTGAGCATCAGCCAGAAACAACTGATAACAACATGATAACAGTGTTTGAACTTCTTCTGCAGCTGCAACACTAACATGCCTGGCCACTGAATTGTATAGCTGCTGATATAACCTGGGTAGTATTGCAGAAAAAAGAGTGAATCATAGGTTTGTATTTTATCAGTCAGTCTTTGAAAAATACATTTTTAAGCCAAAATAGGCACCATTTTTTAATCTTATTTAACGTTTCAAGTAACGTTAATGTTATTTGTACATGCTTTTAAAAACAATTAGCCACAGTTCCAACACTGTTTTCACACAGACAAGTGAAGGTCTGGTCTCCTCATGGTTTCATTTATTCCTGGTCGTTTACGGTCATGTACCCTCTGGTTATTGATTTGATAAGGGTGTTACATTGGTTAAAATAGAAGTGCACTTTTGCCCTGTTAATCAAATCTTGGTTTGAAGTGGGACCTTTAAAAGGCCGATATCCTGAAGACCCTGTTACTATGACAGAGCAGCTCGATGTAAAACTAACAAGGCTTCTGTACTCGGTCTCTATTGCTTTTAATTTGCTTGTGGTCATGCTAGCCCCTTTTTTAACCCTTCATAGTTTGTTTTTGTCAGATCCTTTGTTGCTGTTGTTGTTGTTTTTGCATTTGTCGGGCATTCATTGTGATTGGCTGAACGCACCAGCTCAAAGGAGAGGGATGTTCTTTTTTTTTGGGCCTCTTTTTGCAGGTTAACAAAAGGTTAACCTATCTCACATCATTGTGATTTGATTATCAGATTTGATTTATCTGTCATGTAGCAATCAACCCATAACAACAACCTAAAGTCATTTTTGTTTTTTAGTCATACTAACAATTGTAAAAGGAAGGACTGGACGAAATGGCCTCAAAGAAATTTGAATTTTTCTGTGCACATTTCTGAGTTTCAAACATTATAAATACATCATTGTATTTCTCTTGTGTCCTTGACAGAATACAAACGTTTTTACAGTCACATATGGCTGTAAAACCTGTAGCACTTGCATACACACACACACACAAAAACACATTCATGCCCTTGCTCATGGATTGACGGTCCCATTTGGTTATCTCGCTCTGTTCAGGATGTTCAAACACACATGTACGCACGCGTGCACACGCTTAAAGCGTTCATTTATCTTAGTCATCACTCACAAAGCACCAGCTGAATGATAAAGATGTACTGTACGTGTGTGTGTGTGTGTGTGCGTGTGTGGGTGAATGTGCCGGCAGCCACTTGTCAAAGGTTCTTTTGCAAAGCACAGACCTCCATGCTGGGGTAGTGTGTGAGGTAATGACCTGTTGTGCACAGACGTACCTATAATTTTATTATCAGAAAGGGTCATAAAAAGCTGGAAAAGTTTCATGGTTGAAAAAAAAAAGGCAGCCAGCTCTGCCATAACAGAAGTAACAGTTGCTGGCTTGACCACTGAAGTCTGGATGGATGCGTTATGGGGCCATTTCATTCAGTCCTTAATGTTAAATATAAGTCACTCACGACAATTTTTTTTTACTGAAATCAATGAAGAAGATGGAGACAAAAGAGTTCAGGCCAAAGAGGAATAAAATACACAGTAAGACATATGTTTCCAGGGTACTGCACTCCGTGGCAGTAAGCTACAGTAGAGAACCAATGTCTAACTCACTGTGAAAGACATTTTTTACATTCCTCTTCTTTTTACTTTTTCAGTTTTTTTACTGATACATTAATTAAATCACTGAACTCATAGTGAGCAGTTTTATACACCCCAGATAGTCTCTCTCTCTCTCTCCCCCTCCCTCTCCCTCCCCCCCTCCCTCCCTCTCCCTCTCTTTCTCTCTGATTGTTCCATTACTGCCTGATACACACACAGACAGACACAGAACAACAACGACAACACACCAGTGGGTTTGTATTAGTTTGATCCTTTGTGTTTTCCCTCAGTTTGTTTTGATCTTATTTTTTTCGTTGAACCATCTTATCAGCATTCCGCCCTCTCTCTCTGTCCAAACAGGTAAAAAACATGGACCCCCTGAAAATCGCAACAAAGGTAACCCCTCCATTCATCCACCTGTCCCTCTCTTTTGCTCCATCCTCCCTGTTACTCACCACCTTCTCAACCTCCACCCAGCGGCCGGAGGGCAGGCTCTTCTTCATCTCTCCTTCCCTTTCTTTCTGCTGTAAAAAGGGGGATGTTCTCTCGCCTTGCTTTACCTGATAAAGGGTGCAACTCTCAACCATCTTCAACAGCCAATCACAGCAACACCAGCCATCAGGGAACACATATTTAATACTTATTGCCAAGTTAATAATACTTAATACTAAAAAAAAGTCCTTCTATTTTTATAAATATAATCAATCAAAAACCTGTTTTTGCCCCCAAATGATGAGCGATGCCCTCGATCCACGGAGCCGTCGTTAGTGCATTAGTGCTGGCTCACTCTACGTGCTGGAATGATCTCAATGATGAGTGTGTATGTGTGTTTGGTTGTGTACTGATATCACGTTTTCTACCTCAAAACTTGACCAGTCAAGTGTTCTCAGACTCCCACTCTCACACATGTCCAACTCCCTTTGAAAACACACACACTCAAACACAAACACACGCATATGTACGCACTGAGGTACGCTCTTGTGCAAATACATTCTAATACACGTGCTTGCTCACATACAAAAAGTAACCTCCCATGGTTTAAGCATCTGCTGCAGGCTACAAACCCACACACACACACGCTCACACACACGCACACAGGGAAGGTAGTGTAGCAAACAGAATCATTGCGCAGATGGAGCAACAGCCACTGATGACCTCCACTAAAACACACCAGGAAGAAAAACAGCTCGAGTCATATGACATGCTGATTCGCTTCAGTGCCCAGAGTGAATCTCCACTCAAATTGGACATCAGTGAGACTTTAGCTTCTCTTACTTTTTGAAACGATGGAATGAAATAGGGAGAGGAATCCTAGATTAAGTTTGATAATTTAGTCAAATGTGTGCCTAGAGTGAAGAGGGTGGTGATTGGAGACCTCAGTGGACAGGATGGATACATTATTGGAAAAGGAAATGGTCATGGTGGAAAAAATGGGAAAGGGAATAGATTGTGTAAAGGATGGAGTTTTCTGTGTTTGACAGTTTCGAAGACAGGGCAGGAGTGTGCAAGAATGGAGAAAGGTGCACAAAGAAAGATCACAGAAATAAGTAGATGAAAGAGATAGGCGTTTGTAAAGTCGTACCCAGGGAGAGTGTAGCAAAGCCTCTAGGATAATAGTCTGTAGAACGACAATGGAAACAAGACGAAGAAGCAAGCGCAGGCAAAGCCAGAGATTAAATGGTGAAACCTGGAGGAGGAGGAAGAGGAAGAGTGTTACACAGAGTTCAGGAAAGAGTTGAGGCAGCCTTTTGAGGATAGTGAGAAGTTACTAAATGACTGGGACGGTAGGGCTGAGATGGTGTGATTGTTCTTCTGATCAAAGAGAAGAAGACAAGAAAACGTGTTGGTAGAAAAAAGATGATGATCCAGTGGAAACAAGACTCCAACTTCACTACTGCTGTCAGAGTATTTATAAAAAGGAGCCGGTATAGCGAGTCTACAGTTGAGTTGTTCGGTGTTAATGATCCAGTGGAAACAAGACTCCAACTTCACTACGGCTGTCAGAGTATTTATAAAAAGGAGCCGGTATAGAACGATGTAATAGTCAGGCAGTTTAAAGCATAACCAACAGAAAGTTTGTGCAGCAGGTACGGTTGATAAAGGATAGAGAAAAGAATGACTGTGTTGAACCTCAGATCTGATGGAGAGAAAATGAAAGAGAGAGAAAGAAGATGACAAAGGAAGAATGAAGAACAGGGAAACTGAGGAGGAAGTGAATGTAGTTTTAAGGAATTATGGCGAGAGTCAAATGCTAGCAGCTGAGTTGCGGTAAACACAAAGGTTAAGGTTCAATTTCCACACCATTAGCATGTGTTATTGTCTGTATTTCTTTGCCATATATTCCTGAAACCAAGGATAATTTAATTGGTAAAACCTGTTCTTATCATAGTAAAGGTATTTATTATAAACTACGAAAGAAAAAGATCGATTTTTTTTTATCCTTAGTACCAAAATCGCTAGCGGAGAGCTAATGTTTATAATTTTGGCTGTTTTGAAGTTGCAGGTGTGTGAGAGTTGCACCCTTACAGTATTAGTGGGCTGTGGGCTGTGGTCTGTTTCTGTTTGTGTGTCCTCAGTTTTTGTTTTGTTCTGTTCTGTTTTAGTTTGTTTTGCCTTTGATTCCCCTCATTTCTTTCTCTGTTGCCTCCTTGCAGGGTGTTGCTCAGGACTTGACGTTGTCTTGTAATCACTGTTTGACTTTCTCCTGTCCTG